GATCCTTTGTTCCATCAAAGGTCTCCACAGATGGCATTTTGAACTTCTGAGGGAGGGGGTAGTTTGCTACATCAGGTTTGAAAGGGGTATCAGTACGCCTTACCAGGTAGTCAACAGTTTCGGGTCCCTGTGCCTTCATGGCGTTGAAGACATCACCGAGTTGATTCTGTACCTCCTTTATCTTCTCATCCCAATGATTGGGGGCTCCTCTGGAATGATTATGGAAGTGGCTTCCATGCCCCATGCTTTGGTTTTCACCCTCATCCTCCTGGAGATAAGGGTCCTCTCCCTGGAAAGCAAGGGGAGGGGGAGGTGCAGCTCCCTCATGTTGGGCTTCCCGAAGTGGGGTGCCCAATGGGGCACCCTGGCGTGGAGCAACAGGGCGTGGTGCTCCTTGATGTCCAGGATGTGGAGCTCCTTGGGGTGCTCTATGTTGTGCACCTCCGTGGGGCCTTCCATGTTGTGCACCTCCGTGTGGTGCTCCACCTTGGGGTCCTCCATGTTGTGCACCTCCGTGTGGTGTTCCTCCTTGTCCAGCAAGTATGAGTTGCAGTAACTGTTGGTTTTGAGCAACCAGTTGCTGCATGGTCTCCAATATTTGTTGGGGATTCGAGGCTAGAGTATCCGGAACAGGGTTGATAGGCGGGGGAGCAACCTCCTCCTCTCGTGGAGGATTGTCTTCGTGTTGGTTCATGAATCGAGTAGTGATCGCCATTAGTTAATGGATGTAATATTTAGGAGTGAGAATTTTGTCGATTCTCACAGACGGCGCCAAACTGATGATGCACAAAAATGATTTTGCACACCACCTGTCAAGTGTAGATAATAAATGCAATGAAATCAATGAAAAAATTAAAGAAGACACAATTTATAGTGGTTCGGTCAATTCGACCTACGTCCACTCTTCAATGACTTCAGTTGCCGGGTATTTTATTGATTCAAAGGTATGGAGAATAGAGATACAAGCTTTTAGAGAGAGAATGGAAAATCAAAGAAATAGTAATCTCCGGTAGTCGGTTCGTCCTCTTTCAGTCTCTGGTGGGGCGTGACATTCATCTCTCTCTTCTACCAGATTGGAGCTATTTTATAGCAGCTAAGAGATCGTTTTTGTGGAGATCAGGACATATCCTCAAGACTTCTTTATCGCAGCTAAGAGATTACTCTTGGTGGAGATCACGACTTATCTTCAAGGCTTCTTTATCGCAGCCAAGAGATTATTCTTGGTGGAGATCACGACTTATCCTCAAGGCTTCTTTATCGCATCTAAAAGATTACTCTTGGCAGAGATCACGACTTATCCTCAACGGAAGGAGGAGGTTGGGGAGCTCTTCATGAAACGTGGTCAAAGATTGGACCGTTTCCTTTGGTGGTGCAGATAAGCTTCCCGTGCTCTCTTCTTGATGACGTGCTAAGCAAAAGTCTAACCGGTCTTGGACTTTTTGGAATCAAAATTAGGTTGGACTCCTCAACTCGGGTTGGATTTTAACACATAAATTGGACTATTTGGGCTTAACCCATCAAAAATAATCAGCATAAATCTGACCATATTTAAAAAAAACCAATTTTTTTTTTTTTTTTCTTTAAAATTGAAAATCCAATAAAATTATTAAATTTAAGATAAAATAACGTAGGCATAACGTTTAATACTGATTGTGATGTGTGGGTGGGGTGGCTATGAATGAGCATAGGTTTCTAAGAACAATTCCAATGCTAGCATTTAATGAGAGTGGTCCATATATATATTTGTATATCTTGTCAATTGCCGTCTCTTTCCCAACTTCAACATTATTAATAAGGTTCACACTTGGTCGAAATCTTTTTATAAGGTCACATAATATTACTATTACATAAAACAAAAACTATCCTCACATTCTAACTTCTTTCAACGTCCCGAATATAGTGCTCATTGAGTTCAACTTTTCAATTCAATTACAATTCCAATGACCGAAAATAAAAATTGAGTCCAGGCACTTGGAATTGCTTACTAGACATAATCTCCACAAGTATAACACGAATTCATCGTTACGTTCCACAATTGAGATTCTAATTTTTTTATTCAACGGTCAAGAGTGTTTGAATTAATTTATGTGCGTCGTGACTAATTTACTCTCCGGTACGATTAAAGACAAATTATCCACGTCAGGACTAAGGTATTCATGGTCTGACTCTAAAAAATTGTTAAAATTCAAACTCAAGATATCTAAATTTACAACTCGCTTCTCTGTTATTGATTGAGTTACCCTTTTAGGGTTAATCGAGATTCCAATTGGTCCTTACATAGAGTGAATATATCCATATAATCCTAATGGTCCAACTTTTTTTTTTTTTTTTGTTTGTCCAAATGCATTCAATGTAAATTTAAGGGGGGTGGCCCTAAGTATAAATATCTTCTCTATAATGGTTTTAAAAAAAATGATTATTATTATTATTATTAAACCACATCAAATCACAATTAATATGACATAAAAGGCATCAATAAATATGACTTTTTATTTCCTGTTTTTTCCAACCGCAAGAATTGTATAGCAAAAACACCTTGTTTTCTTCGGTAACTATAATTTAAATATAATTAAAAAAATTTCATGGTTGGTTTTCCTCCTTACTACTGTGCGTCACGTACTTTCCATCTTCAAGCCAGAAGCAAATACAAAGATTGTAGGTCCGATATTTTCCTTACCGAAGTTATTTAATCCACTAACGCTATAGCGATCAAAATTAAGGATCAAATAAAGAGTTTAAATAACATGACAGTTGCTAGTATGACAAGATTAACTGTCATATCAGTAAAATCTCTACTTTTTTTGTCTGTGCATGTGTTAGGGAAGCGGAGAAGACAAAAAGATTTTATCCCATGTCTCTGATTTGGAAAAGACGAAAAGATTTTATCCCATATGTCTCTGATTTGGAGAAGACGAAAAGATTTTATTGATATGACAATTAATCTTGTCATATTAATAACTGTCATATTATTTGAATTCTTTATTTAATCCTTAATTTTGATAATATTGTATTTAATCAGCCCATAAATGCACAATTAAAGTCATTAAATGTGAATCTTAAATCCTCCCATTCATTTCCCTCTTGTATTGGGCATTGAACATATTGTACATCCGCACCATCCTGCATTCAATTCGTTTGTGTGTGTGTGTGGACGAAAGAGAGAGAGACGGAGAGAGCAATTGACTTTCCCAAGTCTATGCTCTTATTTTCTTTTGTCTTTCATTAAAGCTTAATTATAAGTTGAGTTATTTAAATTCGACTAGGATAAGATTTGATTCGAGCTCCATTAATAATTTAAATAAGGCAAGTTTAAATAAATTTTTAAGCTCATTTGGTAAATTAGCCTAAAAGGCTCGGATAGTTTGTTTATATGTAAACTAGTTAAGTTATTTGGGCTAGATTCAAATTTGGCTCATTTTGGACACATCTCGGACTTGGTTTATTTTTTAACCGACTCAAGTTTAAATAATTTTTTAAACTCATTTTACAAAAACGAAGTCAATAAACTCGATTTTACTCAAACTCACAAAATTCAATTCGATTTTATGCCCTAGTGATATTTTCCCCATACCAAACACTATAAAACTAAAATCCAGACAATTCCCCTGAGAAAAGGAATTCAATTATCTTGGCCATTCATTTTCTTTCATGAGATGTACAGTTTCAGGTAACTTCAACTAGAATGCCAAGTTAGGATTTTATCAAAGAAGCAACTAAACCACTGCGGGTTTAGCATGGATGATTGATCTTTCTCTGCTGAACAAAAAGAGTCTCACTTTTTTATCTCCAAAGATACTTTGATTTTTAATTTACAACATTAAACATTAAATATCTTAATTTACACCCTTAATATTATGAATTGATAGTAATATAGACTTCATCCAGACTGTCATTCAATTTTTGTCATAAATTAAAAGCACAAGTACTTTGAGTATGAGGATAAAGTGTGTTCATTACTGCGATCAATTTGATATTATTTTATGTATCAAAAATAAAATTTTGGTAACCAAATAGAGGTTAAATCTATTATGTACAACTCACGTGAGACACCAACAGTCTGTAAATTTATACATAAGCTCATCATCGAAGTACTTGTAATTCATGTGTTTCAATTTATGATGAAAAATTAAATGATAGTCTAGTCAAGGCCCACATTACTACAAATTCAAAACATTAACGGTGTAAATAAAATTTTTTAATATTTGAAGGTGTGAATTGAGATTCAAATCATCGTTTAAGATGCAAAGTGACATTAGCCCTAACAAAAAAGGTCAAAGCTTAAGTTTTCTAGAAAAACATATGTAGAGACAGCAATTAATCATGGTAAGCCTAAAATTTGAATACGATACCCATTATAAGTATAGAGGATTCTAGCATTATTCTAGTTAAAAGTTAGGATTACGTGAGAGTAAAACATTTAATTACTTGTAATACTATTATTCTACTTTGCCCTGTCAATGCAAATATGGTTGACCACCAAACACAATAATTACACATGAATCTCCAATTCATTAAAATGTAGTTGGAATCGGTTGCTTAGTCATGTTATCAGTTTGGCAACATGTCAAATGAAGATTGGTTTATAAATTAATAACCTCAAACCAAAACTCTAGATCAAATTAATACCGCCGAAAGACTCGTAATTTTATCCTCAAATGTTAAACTCTCTACCTGTTGTATTATATAGCATTGGTTCAAATTCCCCACTTATATAATATAAATATTGGCACTGTCAAAAAAAAAAAAACTAGCACCATAACGGGAAATAGTACCAAGAAAAAAAAGAAGAAGTTTAGAGGAGTAATAATAATCGAAATGAAGAGATAGGTAAGAATTAAAAGTAGTATCAGGAGTCATTACCTACATTAATGAGGTGTCTACGGAAGCTAAAATGTCTTTGTGTGTAATAAAGCACAGCTGTCCTCTAGTATTCCAAAAGGCATTTAATGCCGCCATTACTGACGGCCCCCCTTCCTCTTCCTTTTCTTGAATTCTTCCCCCACTCTTCAAAGCTCCCCCCGGGTCTCATTAATACCATTAAATATATTCATACAATTTCTTCTAGTATTATTATATATAATTCAAATTATATCATTACTATAATTACCTTATCCCTCCTCCATACATGGATATATATGTATAACGGACTCCTATCCCATTTACTCTCACATATCGTCACATTAAATTCAAACCCCCCCATCAAATCTCCTCCTTCTCCTCTGTTCCTCCAATTGTTAAAGTCTCTGTATTCTCTCTCTCTCTCTTCTTATCTATCTGGTGGGTGGTGGTGGTGGTGGTTTCTGAAAGATTTGTATGGGGATGGCGGCTGACGTCAGCTCGTTGGTTCGGACAATGAATGGGTACAAGGAGGATCAACAGCAGCAGGCGATGAGCGAAACGGGTGGTGTTGGGAAATCGACGGTGCTGATTACACGGGACTTGCTTGGAGGGTGTTGTACCCTTGACTCCAAGGAGCTCGACCTCGACTTGCAAGTACCCTCCGGTTGGGAAAAGCGTCTCGACTTGAAGGTATTCGTCTCTCTCTCTCTCTTTGCGTTTTTCCTTTTATTTGTTGGATTGTTGGTTTGCTTTGTTGTCCTTGTTGCTGCTATAAACTGAAATCGCAGCCACAGATTATTTAGAGAGTTTTGGTTTTCAACAATTTCATTGCTTTTTTGTTTTTGTTTTTAAATTGTTTTCCTGTCGATCAAACGGAGCACAATCAGGGGTCCCTTACAGACCATATGCTTACGTGAGAAAACGACTTTAGTATGAAATTCATGATTTTTTGGTGCTTGCTATGCTGTTTCTTTTATTTCCTGCTGCTCTTTGTTTTGATTCTTGTTACGGGGTTGCTTTAAATTTATCATTTTTTCCTTCTTTTTGGTGTGTTCTTTCTTCCTCCTGTGTTCGTTTCCAAAATTAATTGTTATTACCTTCTTCAGTATTAGCGTGTAATCAATAAAGTGATCATTGATAGGTATTTACCCGAATTTAATTCCGTTTATTTATACTCTGATGCTGCAGATCCCTTGTGAAGTTAATTTAGATATTTGTTAGTTAATATCATCATTAATTGGTACACTTGACCTGTTTGAAACATTTCTCTCATGCATAAACACTTGTTTCCTTCTGTTTATGAATATTTCCACATATTTTCCCTAGAAGCAGAGAGAGAGAGAGAGACCATGCTTAATATATACATCAGTGGGTTTTGTATATATTTTAATCATATTCATTGATTCTCTGCAACTTTAAATTCCCATTGTAGGCTCCTTAACAGCTGGTTATATGTACATTCATAAGAAGAGTTCTTGCATTTAATACCATTGGTTCTGGCTCAGAAGTGATTCTTTAGGTTATTAGCAAAACCATCTCATGCCAGTAACTATTTATTCTGATTTTCAATTCTGTTACTCTTGTGCTTACAGTCAGGTAAAGTCTATCTTCAGAGATGCAACTCTCCAAACACCTCTTCGTCGTCATCAGAAGTTAAGCACCAAACCAATCAAACGGTTCCAAAGCTCCAAGACCTAAACTTCCCTCCATCATCAAGAAGACCATTAAACCTCTTTGAGGACACCAGCTTAGACCTAAAGTTGGTTACATTATCGTCATCATCATCATCTTCCAATTACCAAAGCGTATGCACTCTTGACAAAGTAAAATCTGCACTTGAAAGAGCAGAGAAAGAAACAATTAAGAAGCGTTCCATGTCAATGTCAAATTCATCATCACCGGTTTCAAACTCTTCATCTTCATGTAAACAAACTGAGATTGACAACGAGGAGAACTCTTCGTCTGCATTCGCTGCAGGCTGCCCAAGTTGCTTGCTTTACGTGCTAATATCAAAGAGCAATCCTAAATGCCCGCGATGCAATTCAACTGTTCCATCGCCTATGACATTGAAGAAACCTAGAATTGATCTCAACATATCAATATGACAAGTAGCAGACAGTCATTTTATGGTTGAATTCCCTGATTTTGGTTCTTGTAAATGATAGAAAATAGTTATCAATGGAAAAATGGCATGTATACATTGGTAGATGATTGGTATTCTTATTTGAATAGCTAATTCAAGTCTAAATAGCATTTCTCTCTTTGATATTTCTAGCTTGTTTTAGGTACCATTGAATTTTTTGATGGAATCCATTTACTTACTTATTGTTCTATGATGTAATTTATGTTACACGGCCATATGTAAAAATTGTTTTCTGATTGAAGCCCACCACCCTTCTGAAGCATGTTTTTGTAATTGAATTGTAGCATTTTCGGTTTGGTGCTAACTAAAATTTGGAACTTTTCAGAGTTCAGTGATAGAATCTCTAGTGAGCTCTGAATGCCACTTTAACAATTAAGTTCTCTGTTCTTTTTGGTTGCGACCTTTTCCTTTCATTAGACATGCAGTCGCATACTAGTGCATAAATTCCTGAACTGATTTGAGAGTGAAATTAGATGAGTTTGTACATCGTTTGAACCCGAATCTATGCATGTATCATGTACCTTTTGCCTTACATAAAAGATACCGGAAAAGTCATTGAGTCCCAAAATATGCCATTACTCAGCTCTCCTTCTGGAAAATGTACTTCATTTGACCGGGAAGCCGGCCTAATGCAATAGTTGGTCCAGTCTCCGGCTCCAGCTCTAGGAAACACATTTCAAATAGTGGCTTACAATTTGTTCATATTTTGATTGAAGATCTGAAACTTACATTATTACATGAAGATCTACCACTTGTTTTTGTTTTTTTTTCATATCTCTGGACCTTTAGTAGGATATGATATGATGGTAGAGTCAGTATGAAGGCAATGTGGTTGTGTACTTTAAATGACTGGAAAGAGCTATGTACCTAAGCTTTGTCAAAGGATGTACATTATTTCTGGTTGCTTGACGAAGTTAATTATGGCATTTATTAGAGCATTCCATTTATGCACCTAACAGACTATAAATGATCTTTAATTCTTTTACAAAATCTTTTAATGTGTATACCTACCTTCAGAGAAGAGTCCAATTTACGATTTCTCTGAAAGAATTCATAACAATCAGAAGATCAAATGCTGAAGATGTCTGTTGTTGTAAAATACAGATAGTGTCCAGCAACAATAAGTGATTTCTGTAGTTTTCTGATTTTATAAACTGGCTGATGGTCAGGCTATTTTATATGAGAAGGCCAGACTTAAACTGGGTTTATTAAATTGATTATTGGGAAAAAAATTTAAATTGAAAATGTTTCGTTAATCTGTTGGGTAGATAGAAATGACAAAGAGTAGAAAGAAACTTTGGAAAATTGCATTACCATTAATCATCTAGTCAAAACATGAAATAATTTTTGACTTTAAAATTTCAAAACCAGTGAAGTATTGGACAGGTTTTATGATCTGAGTCGCAGAAACAGTCTTTCTTCTTGCCCTCTCCTCTCTGGGTACGCGCATAAGCAATGGCATGAGTTGTTTGTTCATGCTACACTACAAACTGAAGCAACAGATGGCATGGCTGCGTGTTAGAAAGTCCCATCACCCCCATCACCAACAAAAACCCTTCTCTGACAATTATGTTACCTTCAGGAGAAAATCAAAACCTCCCCTGAAATATTTGAGACTATGAGACACGGTGACGAAAGGGATGATGAAATCAGAGAGAGCCAGTTAGTTGTAAAATAGTTGATGGGTATGCTTGATCCTATCAAAACAAATTCCATACTCAGTAAACATGAGCTCATTCAAGTCCTTTTCAATCATATATAGATTTTGCTTTATTTTTGAGGACTTTGGATTCCCAACCTCAATTTGGAGGTCACTCAGGAAGCAATCAGGTACTGTTTGTTTGTTTTTTTTTTTTTGAACAGTAGGTACTGTTTGTTGAATACATGATTGCTACGGCATCAGGAACACAGTTTTGTTTGAATTAACAGGTTACAATTGATTCTAATCACATAATACACCTTATCTTGTTAATCGCATAGGTGAATCAAACTCAATATCCCATTTTTCAACAGCACGCGCTTAGGGCAGGGATGATCTTACCTGCTCCAGTTTTCAAGGATGCCACTTGGAACTAGATCTGGGTTAACAGACATAAGGGTTGTTAAGTTTATCTTTCTTCTCCCTCTTTTCTATTTTAGCTTTAATTTATTGTTGAGTTTTGTAGGTATTGGTTATATCCTTTTTGGCTGCAAATAAGTCTTGAGTTTGAAATTTTCTTGGTTTGATTGGTAGCAGCTAAAGGTGACTAGACATGTCCTTTGCACTTAGCTCCTCGCAGTACTTTCTCATTGTTTCCATTTCTTTTCAGCATAGACTATTAAAATAGCATCTCTACTTTTGTGGTCCTTCCATAATTAATGTACAGTGAGACATTTTAAGGAATTCTGAATCCAGCTTGGGAGTGTTGGTGAAAAAGATGAAGTTTGCCTAGGTCAAACAGGGATGTTTAATCCTTTAAGGGATGAATTACTAGCAATACAACTTTTTTGCTATGCATAATCCCTTTTTTTTTTCGTTTTTATTGTTCAATGGTCAAAGGTGTCTCGCCAGTTTACGTGCACCTCAATTAATCTCCTCTCCAGTGCGGTCAAAGTTAGGTCATTTATGCAATGACTAAGATATTCATGAAGGATAAAACTCTCATGGTTTAGCTCAAAGGATTGCCAAGATTTGAACATAGGACATTTGAGTTTACAACTATTCTTATTTACCACTTGAATTGTGCTCGGGATTAGATAAGCCATTTTTCACTCTCATTCTGCCGCCTTTTGTATGTGTATGAACTTGATTCCGGAAAGTGAGAGTGTGTGTGTGAGGGGGGAGAGAGAGGGAGAAAAAAAGAGAGATATGAAGAACAAGAATCAAAATTTTGTTTTGATTAGCTTAAAATTGAAATTGTTTTGATAATGTTTCGAAAACAGAATAAAAATAAAAAATAAAAAAATAATTTTGATTTTATTTTCGAAATATTGGTCAAAAAATGAAACAACTTAACATATAGGAATTTCAAGATTTAATCAATAGTTTATTTTGATTTTTGTAATAACAGAACGTTTTAGACGTTTTGAAATGAAATTTAGTTCCTTGAAAATGGGCTTTGTGGAAGAAGTCATTTAGTATTAATGGAAATCCATTGATATTGGAAAATAACTTTTATATCCATGCACCTTGAGTGCTCAGCAAGGTGGTCATCACTGTTTAAGTCACATAAATAACTCCTCCGCCAGTTCTTGTACACCTTTACTGACTTGCTGAATGATATAAAGGCATTGAGCCTTGTAAATAAATGATTGAAAAGTGCATCCACCTAAATTTCGTCAAAAAACATTTTCAATATGGTTGCTGCATGCATGGCATTTAATAGACCAATTCATCCATAAACCTAACACACCATCAATGAAAATTAGAAATGCAATAGACCTTCTTAATAAAGAGGCACACCTACCATCTCATCTCAGATGCCATCTACCATAACTTGTTGTTTCAGTGATTGACACCATCTTGTCTTCTGGTTTGTAATCGATCTTATATCTCGATTAAGTCATGTCATCATTAGATTGAATTGTCAACAGAGATAGTTTGAGTTTAATACTCCTACTAAATGAGTTTATCAAATCACAATTAATTGCAAACTACAAACCTCCACCTAAAATTGTAACTTTAACAGGTTATAAATTCCTTTATTCTGTTGTAAGAATTAGATTGATGGCGTTGGCATACATGCCTCCTCATTGATTTGCAGCTGAACCGAACCCACAAGCAATTTACGTGTACAAATGAATTTGGTAGATGTAGGCATCAGTCAACTAAAACCATTTACGAGGAAATTCAATGCCAAGATTGGGCTGGTTGGTCCATCATTAAATTGGGATAATTAAGTATGTGCTGCAGCATTCATAATTAAACTCTTCCAGGTTGAACATTATTCAGAAAGGAGAGTAGAGGAGAGCATTAAATTTCTTGTGTTGGATGGATGGATGGATGGTTACGACTCAATTTCATAATAATCACTTTCAAACGGTGATTAATGAAGAAGAATATATATATATATATATATATCCAGGTAACTTACCTTTAAAAGGTAGATCAAATTATAACGACTTGTAAACCTAAATATTTTGAGTTTATAACTTGACAATATTTTAGGGTTAGACCATGAGAGAATTACTCTCCATCAATAATCTAATATGGGCAACCAAACCAAAGAAAGAATTAATCGATATGTGCGTAAGTTAACACCAACACCCTAACCGTTAACCCAAATAAATAAATATATAAATGCATGTGTGAATCAAAGCTGTAGACAACACAGTCCCTTGGATAGGCAGTAGAAAACGAGGGGCTGGTCAAGAGTAAAGTGGGTGTTGAGATTGATGGATATATACATATATACTTTATATAATAAAGTCGCATTGGCCGGTGAATAGTTCCAATCAATTCAATATGCATCCATTGATGAATGAGAGAAGGAAGTTACGTGCACGATTGTTTGCACTCTCAATAATCTAAATACAGGTTACATTTATTCACCTTTTTTATTTTTTTTGGGTCATTCTCTATTTCCTTTTGTCTTCTCTTCTGTTAAAAATACATTAGTTATTCAAAAAATATACAACTATAATAAAAAAGAGAGCAAACAAATTTCATATGATCCTTAATAGTTGGAAGAAGGCGTTATTGAGTTGAGTTAAATTTAAATTTATAATCGATTAAAAAGTATTTACTCGAGTTGTCAAAAGAGACGGTTGTTTGATGGATCATATTAGGACCGGGTGTTTATTAAAATGGTTCGTTTATCTACCTTTTACCGATGAATGGAATAATGTTTTATAACCTATTTAGAGTTGCTCACCTACCACCTAGTTTTGACTATGATTAGTGATCCTCGACAGCATTACTAAAAGAAGAGAGTCTAGCAGCCACTAAGTCTTGGATTAAAGCATAACTTGGACTTCATCTTCTTTATGTATGAATGAATTAAAAAGATATCATCCTTGACACACGTGCACATTTTGGTTTGGCATTTTTGAATTATTCAACATACTTTTACAGTTTAGTTGGTTCAGCTCTCATTTTTCAGGTGGTTGTTGAGAAAATTTTGTATACTTCCAAGTGAATCAAAGTACAAGCAAAAAAAAAAAAAATACTAAATTCCCATTTTAGGTTGGATTGCTTGGAACAATAGTCTCATATCTAGTTTCTTATTTCTCAAGGCCAAGAGTTGTTGAACTATAATAATAAATACAAAAGTGATGGGACAAAAAGTCAATTTTTCTGAATTAT